CAGCACATGGTTTCTTATAGGGCGTGTGTGTAAAGGTATTTGCCTATTTCATGAGGATCACTGTATTTGAAACCTATAAACATATATTTTATTCCAGCTATCAGACTGGGGAGCAAGAGTTCCCGGATGTTCAGGTCAGCTGTTTCTGTCTGCATGGGACTGATCCAGACCCCAGGAACATGGGTTTCTGTGAGGAAACCTCAGAAATCCATGGGACCTCCTGTAGAAGCCCAGTATTTATCCCTAGCATAAGTGTGGACTTTGGGAGCCCATTCCATATAGAGGAATACTCCCTGAGGGAAGACACACGGGGGTGGGCCTAGGCCCTATCCCAAAGGATATGATAGACTCTGATGACACCCTATGGAAGGCCTCACCATCCAGGGGAGCAGAAAAGATATGTGACAGATAAGGTTTTATTTGGGGGGGGTAGGGGAGGATCGGTGGGAGAAGGGAACTGGGATTGTCATGTAAAACAATCCTGTTTCTAATTCAAATAAAAAAAAGTTGGAAAAAAATAAAAAAAAAACAAAATCATATATTTTAAAAATCTGCCTCAATATGTCTAGTGGCTTACAGCACACTGAATGTAGATGAACTTGATTGGGCAGTGCTATCACTTAACCTGATTGGTTGAGTCCCTAGTCCTCCCTCTATGCATCACTATAGTAGAGGCTGAGTACCACCTAATACCAGGGTTAGTGCAGACAATGTCCTAAAGATCAGTAATTTTCACTTTTTGTCTTGCTGGATTTTGAAAGTTCTATTGTCTTTCTATACCCCAAAGGGAAGAAAACACCTGGAAAAAAAACACATGTCAACTTATGAAACCCTAGACAGCTGCTGCTTTGTAATAATGATGCAAAATTGAAATGCATAACTGTGTTTAATCCTTTGTACTTTTAAAAGCAAAAATCTACTATATTTCTATGAGTTTATGATAAGAGAAAATTTATTCAAAAGTTCACATCTTTATTTGTGAAATATTCATGTTTTATTAATGTGAACTATTTTATGTTGCTATTTTGAAAATGAAATTGTATCATGCATGCAAATTTCTGCCCATGGTGATCTGCTAATAAGTTAAAAACTCTGCTATTGCTGATATGAGAAGATGATGAGAAAAAAGTAGCTACATTTTATTTCAGAGTTATTTGCTAGAGATGGAAGATATAGATTTGGTTGGAACTAGGAAAGAAGCTTGAAGGTTAGACTAGAGTAAAAGGACTCAGTAATCTTCTAAATGATTTTCTATGGTGTATTCAAAGTCATTCTGTGATATATTTTGAGGAAACATAACTTTCAAATGTATTCTTTATTTCTGTGAAAATTGATTATAGAGAAGATAAAAGGTTAAAAAAAACCCTATCTGATGAGAATAAATTGTGCACAGAGAACTAACAATGAGTGATCACCCTTCCTGGGTTTGGGGTACACTGGCTAGTCTGTGTAAAGGGAAGGCCACCTGGGAGAACGGTTAACATACCTTGTGACTCAGAATAAACACATTGTTCTTGTGAACAGTGTCCTTGTAAGTCATATGTGTATCAGGGAGACAGATTGGCTTGGTGGCTAGAGGCAGAACATGGATGCCACAGCTCTGATTAGAGATATTTTTAGAGCCATGATTAGGCTGTGAAAATTGTGATCTTTTTCATGCTTCCCAGTAGTGATGTTTGCTTTACTGTTCCCAAAAGATAATTGTCAAGACACACAATGCATATGAAAAAATTGTTCAGACTTGGATATTTCTAAAAATGTCTCACTTCTTAGTGTTTTGAAAATCACTAAGTGTTGGTTAATGGCTGACAAGATGGCTCAGTGGGTAAAGGCAATGGCTGTCAAATCTGATGATCTGATTTTAATCCATAGGAGACACATCATAGAAGAAAAGAACTGACTCCTGTAAATTGCTCTCTGACCTCCCCACACATGCTATGGCACGGAGAGTCCCATACAAACATGTGCACATAACAAATTATAAGTTATAACTCCCTTAAAATATAAAGTAAAAGATTTGATAAAATAAATTCACTTATTAACTAACTTCAACATTTTATTTACTTCCTTTTCCTTATTAAATTTTTTCAACTAACATATTCATTCTAAAATTTTTGTTTCTCCTAAGTTATGAATAATAGTGAGAAGCAACAAGATGGCTTAATAGGAAAAGGCACTTGTCATCAAACTTGGTAATCCGAGTCTCCAAAACCCACATGGTAAAAAGGTTAAAAACCCAACCCTTCCAAGTTAGCCTCAGACTTTCACATGCTTCCCATGGCATGTGTGTCAAAACAAGATGGCTTAATAGGAAAAGGCACTTGTCATCAAACTTGGTAATCCGAGTCTCCAAAACCCACATGGTAAAAAGGTTAAAAACCCAACCCTTCCAAGTTAGCCTCAGACTTTCACATGCTTCCCATGGCATGTGTGTCAAACACATGCACACAAATAAATAAATAAATAAATAAATAAATAAATAAATAAATAAATGTGAAGAAAGAATAGCACACATTATTAGGAAAAAGCATGTCCATAAAGAAAGTCTCTATTTGTGAAACTATTGGAATCATATCCCTACAGTGTGATTGATAAGGTATCAAAGATACAATTCGAGAAAGCTGTTCCATTTTCTCTAATAGTTCATCACAGAAATGAAGCTAAAGGACACTATGACTGCAGTAGACGTGTGTGTAGACAGCCTTCTATAAAAAGACGCTTCCATTGCTGACAACCAAGATTGCTTCCCACATCTGAATAATAGACCTAAAAATAAAGGAACATGATATTTGAACCTAGTGTTCAGACAAGTAGGTAGGCATAAACAGCAAGTTTGCTGCTTGACTAAGAGTGGGATGAGTAGATTTTGTTCTTCTCTATTTCAAACTCTTATATTCTTTGTGGAAACAAGATGGTAAAAATGATGAAATCTACAACAGATCGGTCTTTATTGTGTTTAATTTTGTGTTCAGTTTCTGACATTGTAAATTAAATATACAACATGATGCCATCATCAACAAAAGCAAACTTGTCCCATTTGATAACAATGTCTACTTCTAGGAGGGCCTCTTCAGACTGGTTGCAATAGCAGATGAAGAGATAAGTTAATCAAATAGTTCCCCTGAATCCCACCATTTGGTATGTTAAATTGTGTTATATGTTACCTTCTAAGAGAAAACATACAGATTCATAGATACAGGTTCTTCTTGCAATAGGACACCCAAAAGATGGAGTGGGGGGCTGTGATTTACCTGAAATAACTGTAGCCCATGGGGGTCACTACTTATCCCTAGCACAGGAATGGACTTTGGGAGCCCATTCCACATAGAGGAATACTCCCTGAGCTAAGACACACGGGGGTAGGCCTAGGCCCTATCCCAAAGGATATGACAGACACTGATGACCCCCTATGGAGGGCCTCACCCTCCCTGGGGAGCAGAAAGGGTATGTGATAGGTAGGGTTTTAGTTGGGGGGGTAGTAGGGGAGGAGGGGGGGGAGTGGGAACTGGGATTGACATGTAAAACAATCTTGTTTCTAGTTCAAATTATAAAAAACTGAAAAAAAAAGATATTTGGTTCTGCAAGATGGTTGGGTGGCTCAGTGGAAAAAGTGCTTCCTATACAAGCATGAGGTCCAAAGTTCAGAACCCAAGTTAAAAATCAGGGCAGGCGTAGCAGCTGTCTGCCATTCCAGTACTTGGGAGGCAAAAACAAGTGATGTCTGAGGCAAGCTGGCTAGTTAGACTAGATGATCAGTTAGCTCTGGGCTCATGTAAGAGAACCTGCATCAATAAATGAAGTGGGAAGTGTTGTCACCCTCTGTCAATTCCTGCCTTCCCTCAGACATGGGCACATATGCATGTACACCCTCAAATACAATGGGCACATACATAAGAACATACATTCACACTCACAACACGTATGCATATTCTTGCACAAAAATCACTCCAACAATCTAAATCGACATAATTCCATGATGCCTTGTGAGGAGGGCTGATATACCAAGACACATTGTGTTATGATTTATTCATGTGTGTTTTCCTCTGAGAATTCTGTAAGCAAAGAAAAATTGGACATTCTACATGCCAATTTTCCCTTTGGAGAATCACAGTGCTTCAAAAGTAGCTCAGAAATCCTACATTAATTAGAAGATGCAATTATTTTTCATTATGGTAAAGTATAAACAACATGAAATGTATCTTAAAGCATATGGTCCAACTGCATTTAATACATTATCCTCTAGTTCCAACTGTACAACTTTTCAATCAAAATCTGACTGGGTCTATTTCCTTCTGGGAAATGTATCTCACTTTTTAATTTGGTGTGTCTAAAGTAGAATATATTCACAGAAAAACTAATCAAATCTTCTCTTTTTAAAAATTAGAAAAATGTTGAGAGATTAAGTGCCTTTCTTAAAATCACACTGGTAGTTAAGACAGCACATGTCTTAGTCAGGTATCCCATTTCTGAGGACATGGTATTTGGTATTTCAAGAAACTTTCCTTGTTTCCATTTCTGTTCCTGTTTAGATGACTTAATAATCTAAAAGGTATATGCTGACATTTTTCATAGAAGAGTTTGAGATTCAAATAAGCATCTTGGCCTAAGGATATAGCTCAGTCAGTAAAATGCTTGCATAGCAAGCTTGAGGACCTGAATTGTACCCCCAAATTCTAGGTCAGAAAGCTGAACAAGGAGCCTGATATCTCATTTTCAAGGAAATCTAGATGGGCCCTGGTCCTCCCTGGAGAGCCTCTTTGGTGAGCTCCAGGCTAAAAAGGGACCTTGCCTGAAAGGACAGTGTACCCAAGGGTGGTACAGAGGTGACCCTTTGGCATCCACACACATGCCCATCAGCATACTTATCTCCACACACACATGCATGAAATAAGCACCTAATATTTAAAAGTTATACTATGCTTGCTTTATGGCTTTATCATTGTGATTTTCTTATGAGAACTTTTATTGTAATAACTCTAATCACATGATTCTGTTCTTAGGTCTATTTAAAGTCATGGCAGACAAAACTCCGTACCTTACCATGGAAGAAATCACAAGAACCATTCAGATTGGACCTAGTAGACTAGGACATCCTTGCTTTTATCACCTGAAGGATATAGAACTAGAGAATCTCACCATAAAGCAGGGTGAGGCAATAAGGCTCAACTCAGTGGAAGAGCTCGATGGAGAAATGCTGGTGAATTGCGGTGTGGTAAGGGATCATCAGAGTCATTCATTTACTTTGCCACTGTCACAAGAAGGAGAATTCTATGAGTGTGAGGATGAACATATTTATACCCTAAAAGAAATTGTTGAATGGAAGATCCCAAAGAACAGAACACGGACTGTGAAACTTACAAACTTCTCAAACAAGTGGGACTCACCCAATCCATTCCCTGAAGGCTTTTATGGTACTTTGATTCTCAAGCCTGTTTATGAAATCCAAGGGGTGCTGAAATGTAAGTATACACTGAGAATGGTATCCCGGGTGGGTGGGTATCACAATGGATTCAGAAACTGAATGGGATGCTGTGCCTGTCATTCATTAAGTCTCCTAGATTCTGCATCTGTATCTAAGAAAACCAAGACAGATCTGTCTTAAGGAGCAAATTAAGTAGTGAGAATGCAGGTATATTATAAACTGCTATCCAAGCACAAAATACTTTAACTATTAGCTTCAGGTAGACTGAAACACTAGTTCTTTTTACTACTTGTTATTAAGAGTTAATTTTTAGAATGAGCATCCAAAAGCAGCTTTCTTGTTCCCACAGTGTCCCTTACTCTTATTTTATGACTTTTTTTTTTAAATCTCAGCCTCTTATAACTGGTCGCAATTTCTTTTAACATAGATTCTCTGACTTAAAGAAAATGATATGATAAATTATTTTTACACTAGTGTATTTCAATATTCAATCTTCACTGATTTTTTATATTTTAAAAGTATCTGCATAAGTCTTTGCTATTCAAAGATATTTGTACCCCAAAATTTCAAGCTTATGTTATGTAAATGGGGCAATTAGAGGATTATAGAATTCTGAACCTAGTTCTAGCCAAGCCTGATAACATGCCCAATAATCCTAGCTTCTCTAGAGGCTGAGGAAGGAAGGTGGCAAGTTCAGGCCTGCCTGGGTAACATCCTGGTCAACTTAGCAAGACTCAGTCTCAAAATGAAAAATAAAAGGGACAGAGAATACAGCTGAAGACAATTCTCAACACAGGTAAGGTCCAAGGCTCAATAACTTTCAAAATGGGAGCTTAGAACAAGTTGAGTTTGCTCTCATGGAGTTGTTTTGAAAGTGAAATAAAGTAGAACTAAAGAACTTAAGATCATTAAGCTTTGTCAAAAGCTACCTCCTTAAATGTCTCAAAATTGATTTTTCCCTGCCCTTATTATTCTTACACACTTACAAAAAGAGATGATGTGAATCTTTTGACAGGTTTTAGAGTTGTAAGTTAAATTCTATCATGCTAAAAGTTAATTAAAATTTGGTCAACTCATTTTTGGACTAAAGGTATGGAGATCATTTGCATGATTTGATTTTATAAAATATTAGGACCACTGCAAATTTTAGAACTCACGGTAGTGTTCTGTTAGCTATCTCAAAGCACCTGACTGAGAGCTTTTCTTTCTGTTCATGAGTAATAGATAGCATTTTCTTGTTTTCAAATCAGTGAATTTTCATCTTCTACCTATCACTTGCTTATAAATGAGAACAAACCCAGAACCCAAACATGTAGACTGAGAGGTTAGAACTTGTAACGAATTTGGATTATGAATCCAGTGCTGATAGATGGATAAATGGTAGTCAAGTGATGCAAGGACAAATTTAAAGCTACCCAGCAAACGCAACCTGTGGAAAAGTGGTAAGCAAGTGAGTGAAAATTCAGCACAGCTGTATGAGAAAAGAGGGCAGACAGAGATAAGCATAAAAATACAAATGGCAGGTGTGTGTGTGTGTGTGTGTGTGTGTGTGTGTGTGTGTGTGTGTGTGTGTGTAGCCATCCATAGAGCATCATGAAGTCTATCCAAAGAGATAAACTTGAGATTTATCCTAATCAAGAAAGTGTTAAACTGGGAGAGGCAGAACATAGGAGCATAGCAATTCCAGTGGGAAATCCAGCTGGATTAGAGTTCTGTTCAATGGACATTGCAATGGGAGAGATAGGAAATTCAGATGAACTTAGTATGCAAGATGTGCCATCAGCAGGATCTAGAAGTCTATTGGACGGGAACTTGTTCAACTGGTCAACCTTATTCTCAGCCTTTGATTTCATCTAGTAGTGGAATGATATGCACTTATTAAATATGAACAACAAAAGAGCAGGATTTGTTAAAAGAATTGTTCAGGTAGATTTAAATAGAGTTTTCTGCTAACCAAGGAACAACCTTTGAACATCCTTCATGAAATGTTTTAGCCCTGTTTCTACTATACATTAGAATCAAAATTTCATATTCCTTATGAGGGGTCACTTTTTCAGGAAAATTACAATGTTACTCTTAACTATATTGGTAGCTCAGCATATATGCTGTATGAGACTAGCTTTCACGTATATAGACAGCAGAATATTTCATAAAACCAAGGATGGGAATCTGCTACAAATGCCCCATTAAACAAATAAAAAACCCTTTTTGTTTTTATAGGTATTTCCCTCTAAATATGACAAGGAAATGATGCTTTCACACCATTGTGGTTTTCTTTTGCATTACTTTTTTGAATGAGTTCAGATACTTCCTTGAACTCAAGAGATGTTACACAGTTGCTTTTGCCATGCTTGGGTATCAGTCTAAACGCCTTAGGCTTGAGTCCATTTTTCCCCACAAAGTGACAGGAAAATAACTGATCTGAGGTGGATAGAATGTTTTATAGTAACCTTAGAGGAAGATGGAAAATGATGGGACACCGAAGAGCTATGAAATATTGATTTCCTGAAAAATGGCAAGTAACTAAAAAGAGGGTATATAAATATTTTACTCTTACAGCTGGTTTTTAATATGTTGCTAATATGACTATTTATATCCCAGACAAAGGAAAAACAGCAGAAATGACACACTGTTTCTCAACCTATGGGTCATAACCCTTTTGGGTGTCAAACATCACTTTCACAGGGGTTGCCTAAGACCACCAGAAAACACAGATTTTATATTACAATTCAAAACAGCAGCAAAATTATAGTTATGAAGTATCAATGAAAATAATTTTATGATTTGGGGTTGGTCACCACAACATGAAGAACTATATTAAAGAGTCATAGCATTAGGAAGGTTGAGAACCACTGTGTGAAAGAGAAAAACATATTCCTGGTTTCTGGTCAAAATTCCCTTCTAGGCCTAATATCTTCCTGGCTATCAGACTCACTCAAAGATTGGTCAAAGTTGTGATATATATATATATATATATATATATATATATATATATATTTTATCTCAATATGTCTGTTTTAGTGAAGGTTTCTATTACTGTGAAGGGATACCATGACCATGGCAACTCATAAAGGAAAACATTTAATTGGGGTGACTTGCTTACAGTTCAGAGGTTTATAGTCCATTATCATCATGGCAGGAGGCAATGCAGCATTCTGGCAGACATGGTGCTGGAGAAGGAGCTGAGGACCCAAAGGAACAGGAAGTGGTCTGGGACAATGGGCATGGCTTGAGCATATATGAGACCTCAAAGACCATCCCCACAGTAACACACTTCCTCCAACAAGGTCATTCATACACCAAAAAGCCACACTCCCTATGTGTCACTCCCTATGAACTTATGGGGGCCAATTATATTCAACATATCACAGTTTTCCTGATTTTTCAAAAAATATAAAATTCATATTGGGCACATAGAAGGTTTAGTATTTATAAATGAAAAATTGAGTCGTTTATTTAAGTTTTTAAATAAAAAAGAGGTCGTGAATATTGACTTCCATAATATTATGTTTTGATGCATGGATTAATAATTCATTCCTTCTTAACTAAAAAATATTCAGCATCATGCAGATCCCTTTGTCTTTTAGAGGAGAACTTAATGCTGCAGAAGCTTGGAGGCCCAGTCTTCACAAAGTTATGTAAAGACATCTACTCATGTCATTAGCAGATGGGTGAAACCACTAAGTATGCAAAAAGGAGATTCAGAAAGGTAGTTTTGGATATAGTATTTTAGATAAGTGAACAGGAGAAAAATTCTTTCATTTGTAGTTTCCAAAGGCCTTAGGCTTCATTCACCATGCTATTTCCTTTCTTTCTGTCATTTAACTTTAAAAATAATTTTAACTTTCATAAAAATCAAAAACCTGAGTAACACCCAAGAAAGACATGATAAAATTACAGGCAAACCTTATGGCTTTGACTGTTCTCAAATTTCTTCTACATTCTTCTACTCTGAGGTAACTCTTTGTAGTATTTTCTCCCTTGATTTCTGGTATTTGTCTTCCTATTTCAAAATGATAGGAACTTTAGTGGTTTTCAAGTCATTGACCATTTAAGATAGTAATGGCTGGCTTTTGCACATGGCCAGGGGTGTATTATTTCCCATTTCCAATCTCTCAGTGCAAGGTGTCACGTCTCAACATCAATATTTTGGTTAATATATGCTGACCAAAGTAGTTTGTGATGAGTATATCTCTTTTTCTGTCATGATGACCTTGTTTTGGCATGGACATTTTCAATCCTTTCCTAAATCTCCAAGATATCTATGTAAAGGAAGACAAAAGAAAAAGAAACCCAGCCAATGCAATTTCCCAGAGTGAGGCTATCAGTAGGTCTCTATGTGGTATGATTTTCCTGTAAGGGCACTCCTTCTGGAGTCCCTCATTGTTGCACTCCAGCCTAATCTGCTGACATAGACATATAATACAGGGGCTTCCATTACAGACCATCCGTACAATACCTTCCTCTGCCTTGCATTTGTGTTGAATAACTGATTCTCTAATCAAATAAGGAAATTCCCTTCCTTCCTTTTCTTCCAGTTCTGATGAAGTCCTCCTTCTACATGCATCCTAAGATGAGTAAAGAAACTGCAGGTTTGAAAACTTTGTATCCTCCATGCCCACATACACACACGACAGTTTAGCCACTATAAAATTCTAGCTGGATAACGATGTACTAAAATATCTGCTCCTCCCTCTTCCTCTTCTGTGATTGCCTTTGAGAGACTGTGGCATCCTGTGGTCTCTACTGTGTGTTGTAGTAGGCTGTTGTTTCATAGTGATGACAACTTTGGATCTGGACATTTAAGTGTTTTGTTTCTGAAAAGACTTTTTTGACAAGCTTTTCTCAGTAATATTACAAAACATCTTTCTTTCACTTCCAATTGCATATTAAAGCCTCAAACACAAACTAAGACTTCTGTCTTTCCTCCTCGATTTGGTTTGCCCTCATGGAAATTTCCTGTATGAAGTTCCATCACAATGATGAATTTTAAATTTCAGCTCTCATATTTTTAATTTCTAAGATACATATTGTATA